CGGCGCGCATGCGGTTTAATTCTCAGAAACAAGATATTAAATTTTTTTTTGAGAGTTTATCTTAAGAGATTTTTAATGGGCTAATATCGGTGATACACATTAAATTGACTTCGAAAGGCGGAGAGAAGCACACGTTTTGGTTTTAAGCTGTCGCGGTCTGAATGGAGAATCTAGCGGGACGAAACTATTTGAATTTGGAAAATCCAAGAGTGGAGGGACCTTAATACTAGACATTCCAAAGAAATTTTATTTGGTCTTGGTACCGTTTTGAGTATTTTAAATGAGTTGCATTGAAAATAAACGCTCGACAATAAAAAACTAAAAGATACAAAAAAAAAATAAACAAAAAAAATATTACAAATCTTAAAAAAAATTTAATAAGGAAAACTGATGGTGAAATTATACCAGGTGAATTAATAAGACGGAAAGAAATATTTACTTATACTGACTTGACACTATCTTATTTGAAAATTTGCCTTTAAAATTTCTTATAAGATATCCGAATAACAGAAAATAAATCGCAAAGCTGTTTTATTACTTCACCGCCACGTGAAAAGTTTAGAAAACAAAAAATCTAAAAACTAAAAAAAAAATTTAGCTTCCAAAACGTGCAACCTTCTCGTTGATAGCTCTGGAACCTGCAAATATTTACCACATTTTGTTGACTAATGACAAATGTGAATATCCAGTTATCTTAAACTGAATCGATCGCCATGTTGAATTAAAAAAAAAAAAATCTGAGTAAATATTCAGAATCAGTCACCTATACCATTTCTACGAGAGATTGTTTTTTCCCCATATAAAATACATGTAAAACTTCGGGCGCTTTAAGCGACCTCCAAATATTTTTTAATTTCAAAATCAAAAAATCTATATAGAACAGTCCGAGGGGGTGAGGGCATAAAAATTCCGACTTTACTTTTTCACATGCATTTTTGGACCACCCTAATGAGCATTCAATGGGAGCTTCATAAGTTCTTAGTCCTACTAAAGAAAATAATTATTTTTTTTTCGAAATTTTGTTATTTTATCACAAAAGAAAACAAAATTGTGGTTTGTTCCTAAATCAACCGTTATTTCAAAATTTATATTATACCTATACTAGCCCAAATTGGGATAAGCGAAATCAAGAAAATGAATAATTGAATAAAAAAAAAATAAGAATAAATTTTCATTCATCATTTCAAAAATTTTGAATGACGAATAAATTTTTATTCTTTATTCAAGCACTTTAGAATAATGAATAAATTTTTATTCTTTATTCAAACATTTTCGAATGATGAATAAATTTTTATTCTTTATTCAAA